TGAAATGCCGTTGAATTGATAAAAACTTCAGCAAGTTCTACGTAGACTCTGGTACTTAGACTACGAAGACCGTTTGCAAGTTCCGATCGGTTCGGTGCTTTTCGTTTTTCGTGTTTTCTTTTTCTATGCAACCAATAACTCACAGTTAAAATGCCAATGCCACACTCTTTATTCATTCATCATTACCTTTCATCATTACTCCTTCCACGACAGGAAATTCAGCATGGTCAAATGACGACAATCAACATCAACAAGAATAAAAATATCTGGTGACTCGCATTTGGTCTTTTGCCAAGCTGTCCAAGGATGGGGATTCAAATTTGTGTCATCATAACAACGATCCTACACAATCACTCACCGGGCAACCTCATCGGGATTTGTTGCAACAAAGGAGGTCTTTGCAAGACCAAAAGACAATCAAATCCTACAATTTCACAGCGGCTCTTTGTGTCTGTGTCAAGGACGCAGAGGCCTATTTTGAAGAATTCATTGACTATCATTTGGCTGGGGTTTTCCAATGTTTATTTGTATGACGATTCGCCCAATTTCGAATTGCAACGATGGTACAATCATACTTGAGCACATCCTGATTATAGCAAAGTGGAAGTGTTGATGATAGCGCAATGTATTCCGCTTCAGTTGTGGACAGTGCAACAAGAGTTTGCAACTTGGATGCCCAGACAATTGGACAACCAGCATAGGTGATAATATATCCAGTTCGTGATTGTGAAGACAGCGGATCAGTAGATGTTCGATCTCGCCAAGATACTGCCCAATTGGCGTCAACATAACATTCCAGTCCTTTTGTCTTATCCGGTTTGAAGTGTGATCCCATGTGGCGGGTTTTGTATAAATATCTGCAAATGCGTTTAACGGCCATGGCATGCGATTCTTTGGGATCATTGCAGAATCTTGCACATTGTTGTACGGCCATTGTGATATCTGGATGTATCATTGCCTGTACATAACTGAGACTTCCAACAACTGATCTGTAGTTCCAATCATATCCGTGAGGTTTTCCATCAGGATCTTTATCAAGGATGTTGGTACTCGAGGCAGGGCAATCATGTGTCTTGACTCGGCTGGAATCGGAAGCATCCAATCCAACCATTTCCAAAATTTGGTTGATCATTCGTGGTTGTTCCAATAATATGGAACCATCTGGTAATTTCGTGAATCTGGTACCAAGGTAATCCTGTAGTTCTCCATCGTCGGTGAGGTTGTACTGTTCTTGAAGGGATTTAATTTCTCTGTTGATAAGATTTTTGTCTGGTGAGAGTAAACACGCATCATCCACATAAAGTACCAAAATAATGTTTTGTTTGGTGTACAAGCAAGAATCAATACTTGATTGTTTCCATCCTTGATCAATCAATCCCTTGTGAAGAAATTGTGACCATGTGCGTCCAGCATCTTTCAAGCCATAAAGGTTCTGTAACAATTTGTAAACGTTGATGGATCGATCTGTAGTTTTTGGTAAATCAGGAATTGTGAAATTCGGAGGTACTCGTGGAGGTTTCATAAAAATGTCAGTTCGGATGGGAGCCTGTGGATATGCCAATACAAAGTCGATGGATTCCATATGCCAATCGTTGATCAGAGCGAATATCACCATAAGACGAACAGTGCTCCAAGATACAACTGGTGCATATGTGTTCCAGTAGTCAACATTCTCAATGGACATGTGACCGCCAGCGCATAATCTAGCTTTCCACTTGATGATTTCCCCTAAAGGGTTCTTCTTTTGCTTCATAGCCCACACCATGGGAATGGCTCGTTTGTGGGTTGGAATGCTCCCGATTGGGACAACTATCCAATGTTTCCTTCTGATATGATCACCCAGCTCTTTATACATGGCCTTGACAAATTCGTTCTTATCATGGGCGCGCATTGCTTCTGAGAAAGTCATTGTATATGGATCAGTGGATCCTGCCAATCCATAAATGGAGGCAAAAGAATGCGGTTCTTCGGAGTGATCTGCTTGCAGTAGTTGACAATTTCTGATGTCATCATCGCACGTGGGAGAATAAGTCTCAAGAAATGCCGAATGTACGTGAACCATTTTATCATTGAAGTATCGGGTATTTGGTTTGACACGTCGTCCTGAACGCGTGTGTACAAAGGGTTCTTCGATTTGAACATCGTCAATTTGGACATCATCAATTTGAATATCGTCGTCAACGTTTTCATCTGGAGGTGCTGGTGGTGGCACGGTTGGTGCCACAGACGAGAGATCAAGGTTAGAATCCAAATCATCGGTCAAATCTCCCAATGAAGGGCCATCGTCCCATTGCGTGATGAATTGAGGCACAATTGGAAGTGGGACTTCTTTCTCTCCTGGATTGCGTGCGAACAAGTTGGTGGTAGAAAGAAGAGTTTTTGGTTTCTTTTGTTCATCGAGATGCAATTGAGCTTTACGCTGCCATGCGGATGTGAAATGAACATCTTGTTTACAGGTGTCAAATCCGTCATCGTAAATGCAATGAAATTGCGGTGAGACAAAACCTGTTTTGGTGTTCAATACTAATGGTACGCCGGATGCATGATTTGGTGAGTGGCATAAAAAGATACCGACTCAAGTGCGATCAGTCCACTTGTTGTGAGATTTTAGGGCTTGCAAATTGTCAGAAAGCACATAAACAGGAGATCCAAAGGGATGGAAGTGTTCCAGGTTTGGTTGGACTTCCACTTGGGACATCTTCGAGATTGGAGATTCCTCGTACTTGGCCAGTTGCTTCCGACCATTCACTTTGATCTCGGATGAAAATTTGGTATGTAATGCATTTTTGAGATTGACGTAATGTTTCAGAGCGGCAGGCCAAAGTGAGACGTGAATTGCATCAGGCCATCGGTGAGCAGCATGAATCAAGGCAGTTCGAGCTCCCTCAGTTACATCTTTGATTCTCCTTTCAGCCTTTCCATTTTGATGGTGAGCATTCACTCTGCAGAAAGTTAAGCCTTCCCCAGCCTTTTCAACTGAAGTTCGAAATAGTTTAGTATCAAACAAACCGTTGTCTGCATGATAGTGTCTTACAGGAACTCCATGTGTTGCACATTCACGTTTGAACGCTAGTTTTGCTAATACCGTAGTTTCCGCATTCATTTCCGTCATAAGGTGGATGTAGGTGAAATCACTGAAGTGGTCGACAAAAACTGTCGCCCCAGTGTGTCTCATAGTAGTAGGAGTTCCTCGATGAGTTGGAACAAATCCTGGTGTCGGGTTTGCAAGTTGGTCAACACTGATGACCTGTCCTGGATGAGTTGCAGGTTTGATTTGCCGTTTGTTGGTTCCTTTGTATCGCCATGGTTTGCGATGAGCTTTTCCATAAGCGCATCCGGGGCATGTCGGAGCGTCAACATTCGCTAATTCTCGAGGTATTAAACCAGCTCTAGCCATGAGATTGAGTTTGGCAAAACCAAGGTGTCCGTATTTTTCATGCAATATGAACAATCGGTGTTGTTTTCGTCGTACGATTTCAACCTCTGGATCATATGTTTGCGCTCCTTCGGAAACGTGCGGTTCGTCAAAAGTAATTGCTCGAGGTTCAGATTGTGAAATAGGTGAAGAAGTTAAAGGGTTAGATTGGGCTCCCTCAGAAGCTGAGATGTCAAACTTCTTGTATCGGGCTCCCTTGGTATTTGTTTCAATCGAGACTGCATTTGGCTCAGTCGAAACAGAGATATGACTTGGTGCATCAGGCACTCCCTCAGAAACGGAAGTGTCTTGGGAAACAACAGTAGCTTTTGATTTAAAATAAGTGCTTCCAGCATACGCTTCCCAATGATGACGGTCGCAGTCACACGAAGTGGTAGACATGTAAAAGTCTTCGTATCCTGTTTCCGATCGGAATGTGAATAGGTCCCTGTCATTTATTGGCACAACAAACTCAGTTGCTTGAGTTTCGCCCGGACGAGTATACTCAAAAATGTATTCTTTGTCGTTGTGAGTCGGCCATTTTGGATTGTAACCGGCAGCTTCAAGCTCTTTGTATAGAAGTTGCGGTGGAATGATGTTGAAAGGGGAATTTGGGACAAACACGGCATCAGCTTTGAGTTTTTCATCGATGTTTGGTAATGGCAACGGTATCTGGCCCACACCAAGCATGTCAGCTCAAATTCCTCCGATGCCCTTGACACCTCCTAGGACGGATTGAAAATACGAGAGCAAGTGTTTAGCATTGACAATGATTCTGTTGGCACCGCTGTCAAGAAGCCATTCTGTACTGTCAGTGTCGGCTATAAAACAAAACGGTTCATTTCGAATGCCTTTAGGAGGAACGGAATCAATTGTTGTAGGAGTAGTTGCGGTGGAAGTGTATGCTTCGGTGATGCGCTGAATCGAGGTATCAATTAGCCGGTGTTGTCTAGAAGTGTCCAAGGAAGAACCAGGGACCAGTGCATGAGATGTGCCAGATATGGCATAGACTTGTGAGCGGTCAAGCAGGCCGAACAAGGTGAGAAACCAAAAGAATTGCTTCCACGAACGAGAGGGTCGTTTAAAAGAGTGTTTCTTCAAAAAACGAGCTTGTTTGATTTGAAGTTGCGCGTATGGGCAACACCATTGTATAGGAATACGAACGTTGGAGAGCGTGGCGATGGAAGAATCGCGATATGTGACTTGGGCGTCGAAAAGTGAGACGGAGAATAGCGGACTCGCGAGAGATTGCGGAGATCCAAGGAAACATTCCTCCCTCTCTTTCCATCGGATAGGGAACCAATATGGAAGAAAGTGATACCAGAAGGTACAAAGGTTAAGGTAGGTGGCAAAGCGCCAGCGGGAAAATACGTACAAAAGGTAGCCGATGATGTCGATGAATGAAGGGCAACGCAAGATGGCCAAAAGTATGAGATACCGGAGGGTATAAAGGATGAGGTACCAGAGGGTACAAAAGTGAAATCGGAGGGAAAGAAGTTTCCAGCAAGAAAGTACGGTCCAGATGTGTCTGGCTGCAAAAGAAGGCCAATGAAAGAAGGCAAAGAGGTACCAGTGGGTACAAAGGTGAAGACGGATGACAGAGAAACTGTCACGGATGAAGTTGATGGCAAAGGAAGGCCAATGCATGAATGCATAAAGGATGCAAAAGAAAACAGAGCAAATTAGAACATTAATGCATTGACAGAATCGTCAAGTCTGATGCAAGGCAGAGAGCGCCTCAGAAATGACATCATGAAGTGCGTCGTCATCGCCGATCATCGAGAGTGCATTAGCGAGAAGCGCAGTTACACCTGAAGTGGCGTTGCTCGCAGCAGAACCTTCCTCGATTGGAATTTCAGATTGAACATCGCCTGCATTGGCTTCAGCAGCAGCTGCAGCTTTTTCTTCTAACCAGGCCTTGCGGATTTTGCAGTCGGCAGTAGGATGAGTGTGCCATTTGAGGTTGCTACGGTGTTTGGGACAACCGCAGAAATGCCAAGTTGTAGTGTTATACGTTTTGGTATCGCCAATAACATATGGTGTACCTCCCTCGGATTCGGGCTTCTTGAAGTGTCGGACAAAGGGAGGCAATTTGTCTTCCGTAGCAGGGGTCTTAGGATTGGTCTTTCCTTTTCCGCCTTTCTTGTCAACACCTTTTCCCTTCTGTGCAGCAAGGATAGGAGCAATCATGGCAACAAAATCACCATTGATATCTTGACGGGTTGTAGTGGTTCTCCAGAGATGATTGGCCGATTTGTCGGCTTGTAGTCGTCTGCATTTCAACGCGGCTTGAGTCATGAGCCACTGATGAAGAGTAGGAGTACCAGCAGGAGCTGCAAGGGTACCTTCACTAAACGCATCAGCCTTGCTGTTTGTCCAGTTAACAAAATCTTGGGGTTGCTTGATCTTTCGATAGGTATTAAAGATGTAGAAGCAGCGTTCAGAGTCTGGCATCAATCGAGCGGCAGTAGTGGCCAATGTGAAGAGGCCAATGATCTGCGAATTGACAGCAGTCATATCAAACTTGTAATCTCCAGGATCAAGGTTAAGAAGATCTTGGATTGCGTTGCTAGATACTTGAAGAGATGCAGCAGCAGTGGTGTCGATCATGCGCTTGAACAGAGACGGGCCGTCTCCGTGAGTAGGAAGGTTTCCAGGTTGTCCGAAGATTTCAATTCTGAGATCGCCAGTTATGCTTGAAGCTAAGCAGTTGTAGAGGCATCTTGAGTTCTGAATGGCACGAGGATCAACTCTGGCAGTATGTTCAGCCTGAAGGGTGGCAAGAGAAATAGAGTGGTAATCGGAGAGAAGATGGTTTGTACCATAGGTGAGAATTCCATTAGGAGACGGAGCATCCCATTTTACTTCTGCAGCTCGGGTTTGGATAAGGAGTACGAACTGAAAAAGTTCTTCAAGAACTCCCGCCCAAGAGGTTCTTAGTGGAGCACTGGCTTGAGCCACCGCTGTTGAACCCTGTCAAGAAGAGATGTCAAATGGCGTAGCATCATCAAAATAATCAAGGATTGGAGTTGGTGGAACCGCAACAGCCGGTGGAGCAGCCGCAGCAGGGACAGCAATAGGAGCAGCAGCTTGTGCAGCTAGCATCTGTTGTAGCAGCTGCAAGGTTTGCGCAATGTTGGTGAATGCTTCATCTTGTTGATCAGCCATGTTTCGTCGTGTTCGGGCAATGATCTGATGATTCTG